CCACTTCGATAATCAAAGTGTTCAAAAGGTGTAGAAACGATTCTGTGATCTCGAGCGACGGAACATCTAGGAATCATAGGCAACGAAGCAGGACCAACAAGGTTCGAATTGTGAAATAGTGAAGCTTTGTTACTAGCAATTGGAGCATGCGGGGCTGAGAAAGAAACATTGGAAAACAAGGCCATGGAGAGTATTTCTTGAATTGTTGATGCATGGTAGGAAAAGCAAAGGTATCTATTTATAGGATTCCATGGTGGAATGCAACTACAAGTAACGTATTTCACTAGCCAACGTGTTTATCAAGACTTAATATTTTAAAAACTATTACAAGATTTTTATCGAAATACAACATATCAATTCACAAGGGTTTTTTTTAGCGCGTTTCTAATAGTATCAAGTTGAAAAATGTATTGATTTGTATTGTACCATGACAAAATCAGAAGCGAAGTTAGAGCATTTTTAAGAGAATCAAACAAAAAAAAAAAATTTAACATTTAACGAGAACTTTATATATCATTCAATTCTTATACACAACATATATATGTTCACTTATGCAAACTAAAAAAGTAAATACCACACCATAAACTATTATATAATTATATTATTTGGATGAAAAATAAATTATTAAATGTTTAAATCAATAAATTTGTAAATGACATGTTCAACTAAGAGTAAAAGAAAAAAAATTAATATAGATAATAACATTCAAAACGGAGGGTCAAATTACCTTCCCTCGATTGCAATGGATAAGAAGTAGCTGGTTCTTTACATTTGGCATGGAAACAGACAAGAATATAAGCCAAAATGATTAATAAAAAAATGTAAAAGATACAAGTAAAAGATTTATTAATACTAAGGAATACTTTCAATAGTTTCCATGTTGTTTCCTGTGGAATGTTTACAAAAGGTTGCTGTACAAAGTATTGATTATTAATTTCAGGAATTCATTGCTGCTTGGAAAACAATTTCTAGGCTAATACCACATCAACATGAAGCCAAGCATTACCCATACAAATAATCCTTTTTCTATACCAGGAGTGAAAGGGGGTATGGCAATTTTTCAAACTATAAATATATTTTAAAAAATTTAAAAAAGGGAAAGACTCAATAAAAGAATGGAAGAAAACCTGATTGGAGCAACGAATAGATTCAACTGCGAATTGTTTGGAGAGATTAGCAGTAAAAGGAAACTTTCACTTGAAAGCAAGACTCGGAGATGGCTTTGTGTATTCACTAGAAATAGGCTGCTTCATGAGGAAGCTTTCCTGCAAAGGATTCTATTTGGTATTAATCTATTGGGTTCTTTCAATTATTAATTAGCATATTGGGCTTATAATAGACTTATATAGTGAGTTTACGTTAGTAGACTCACATTTATTTTTAAAAATTTGATAGAGTTAGTATATTGTATTAGAATTTATATGCTGGTTTTAATTACTAAGTTTCACAATATTTAAGAAAGGATCAAGATTACATTATAAACTAAAATTGCATTGAGTTAAAAGTATGATTGCAGGAGAGTTACATGCTTGTTCTAGTCTATCTTGTATCATCGATTTCCATTTCATTAAGACATTTTTACTTATTTGAAGCTCATTTGCTTTTGACGATGTCTCTGTACTTATGAATCCATGGATCTAGGTGAGACCCACGTGCTCCAGTTTTAAACTTGAAGTTGGGTTGGTGCAATATGGAAACCAATGCGATTGACAGAAATAGGGCGGCCTTCTATCTGTCTTACACCCTAAGTGTAGTTATAGGTTTTCCACTCTGCACTGATCAAACCACAACTTTGACTATGGTTTTGTCCACTCTGCACTGATCAAACCACAACTTTGACTATGGTTTTGTCCGCTCT